TGGATGCATAGCACCTTTACATTGCTGGTTCACTAGTATGATCATAAAGAAATTTTTCGCTCAAATGTTCTACCTTTTTTGCATACCTTTTTCATGATAGAATTGCGGAGAAAGTTATGATTTTAATGCTATAATCAACATCATTTAGCGCAAAGTATTTCCAGGGTTTATCCCTTTACTGGTTCATATGCGGCCATCCTTGCGCGACACTGCATCAGTGAATTTTTCTGAGAATTCGTTCTTCCGTTGCAGGTCGATATGTTCGATGACGTCTGGTCATTTGATTTGGATACTCATCATTGGAAGAAAATGCCTTTTGACCTTGCGGTACCAGTGTTCTTTCATGATGCGGCCATCACCAAGGTATACCGATAAGTATACGCTCACCATTCATTCCGTAACCTTTTCTTTCTAGGAAGGATGTTTGATTGTGTGGGGTGGAGTGCTTGATATCTACAGCACGGTACGAACTAATACTGGGCAGTGTTGTTATCTCGAACCGCCATCATTGAAAACCCTAGCTGCTTTAGCTTTGCGACCGTATTTGAAGTATACGGTAAGATTTTGGATTAAGTATTTCTTGCCCGAGAGTATCATCCTTTCGCTTCTAGAGGATCGAAGATTCTGATGGACTACGCTGTTCCCGTGTCATGGATATAGTACGTGGCATATGCACCGACATGTCTGCTGGCGGCGAATCTCAGTGTACACTGCCCTAGGATTTTTTTTCGTCATGTATTCATAGCTTACTAATATTGTATTAACTATTATTCTTCTAGAGCTGTGCAGGGTATATGTCAATTACTTCATAGAGCTGGTACTTAACAAACAGCAGGTTTCCCAAAATTTTGTCAGGCCTAATAGATGTGATTTCTTTCACTATCAAGAGCACCCTCTCTCTTTTACGAGCATATTATGTACAAGCGAAATACCAATTTCGCGTATTCTGTAACTACCTAGCAATTTTCTTTCCTTTGATAGTTCAACTCGGGTATGTGCTTAGACGGTGATGTATAATAAATATTGCAAGCAAATGTGTATCATTCCCGTTATGTCTTTTGCAATTTACTATCTAGGGAACTTCTATATGGTGTACACTTTTTTTACAAGCAATTTAGGAAATGGCGCTATCTTTGCTTTCCCAAAATAGATGCAGTTTTGGAGGATGTCAGCTTTGTTTTGCCAGTTCAGAAGATCTAATCGCGCATATCGAATTTGTGCATATCAGTAAGCCTTGCAATAGAACTTTGATATTGAACTGCATTGGTGGTTTGTAGCGCCATTAGAAGAGGAATATCGACAGAAAGTGAGTCAAGGTCAGTACGGTTCTGAAGAGAATCGTGCCTCAGCTACACCTAACATGCCGCTCAGTTGTGTATACAGGTGCGCATAATTAAGTTATCTTTATCTTATTTTATACACACAAGGTGCGCCATAAAAAACCAATAAGTCAGTAAGAAACCACTACCACACTTCATCAGATTAGAAAGCAAGTCCC